GTGCTTTGCCACATGATTTGGTATCTTTTCTCAGTACAGCATGCCTATCTTGCTGCATATCCCAGTGACTCTCTCACTCTGTTCCTCTTTATCCCAGTATTCCCAGTTTGATTGGTCTGGTTAACTTTATCCTGCCTTGCTGTAGGTCAATCAGCTCCTTTATTAACTAATGAGAATAACACATATTCAGTATGCAGACAGATCATTCCATAGCAGTTAGGGGTTTTATTTCTGTGAAGAGACACCATGACCACAACAACTCTTTTAAAGAAAACATTTAATTGGGGTGGCTCATTTACAGTTTCAGATGGTCAGTCCATTATCATCATGGTGGCAATCGTGGTGGCATGCAGGCAGACATGGTTCAGGAGCTCAGAGTGCTACATCTTGCAGGCAACAGAAATTGACTGACACACTGAGTATATGAAACCTCAAAACTTGTACTCACAGTGGCATACTTCCTCCAATAAGGCCACACCTCCTAATAGTGCCACTCCCTTTGGGGGTCATTTTCTTTCAAACCACCACAGAGGGCAACAAAAAGATATCCCAGAGCAGTCCTGGGGGGAGGGGGCAGGGGGCAGTATAGAGAGTGCAGGCAGAAACCAGAGACCTCAAACTACACCAATGACTCTTTGCAATGAACACTTGCAAGTAAAGATATATGGATGGAAGGGTTTACTGTAGTGTGTCACTCTACAGCTTCCATAATGAGATGGATTTTTTCCTTGTTTTTTCCTTTTAATTTTTATTTTACTTTATTGGGTGGGGTTTGCAAGGGCAGAGGGCACATACAGAGAGATGGAGAAAGGAGTGGGACCGAGATACATGATGTGAAAGACATAAAGAATAAATAAAAAGAAAGTTAAAAAAAATTCTGAAGTGCTGAAACAATTTTATCATGATAACAATGTGTTTTTCAGAGGTGTTACTTTGTTACAAATCAGAATTTACACTTAATACATGTTTGTTTTGACTTTCCTCCCTTCAGACCTGTGTGAGTAATGTAGTATGATTACATGATTACATACATGTAGTATGATCACACTCATAGTTTCATATATATTTTATATAATTCCATATATTTTAAATCATGCCAACATTACTTGTAAAATACAATGAAGTGGAAATAATATGGTACTAGTCCCAATTTTGTTTTCTTTTTGGAATAATATTAAGGAAAATTGTATACATTCATCCTAGGTACAATTTTAAAAAATTATATATAGCAGGTTCATTGTGAAGGGACATCATCTAATATGAAATGAAGAACACCTGTGAGCTAATATTCAACATAGTAAAAAAGTACATAGCGCAATAAAACAGTACAGCAAAGGAACATGGAATAATGGTGTGTGTGTGTGTGTGTGTGTGTGTGTGTGTGTGTGTGTGTGTGTTCATGGATTGAGAAAACATACTGTATTGTAAAATTGACATTAAAGCAAATTGATACCATCCCTCAGAGACTAAAGTAGCACAGATATTCATTACTTTCAACTACATACAATTGTCTTTCTTTGCCAATTTTATGGTGAAGAATTTTTGTAATTCCCCAGAGCTTGCAGTCTTTCCTTCCTGGCTCATTTGTGAGCAGAAAGTCTGTATGTTACATAGTTACATCATAGTCATAGGTAAGTTCAAACTTGAATTTAGCATGGAATCACACTGACATCATGAAGTATTGTCATAAAAAAATGTGAGACTGTCTAAGAGAAATGGAGGTTTTATTAGGGGCCAGAAGAGTAGCTTTAATTCATTTGATGAAAATATAAGGGCAGAAAAAAAATAGAGCAGTAGTTTGGAGAACTGACTCTTTTTAAGGTGACTGAAAAAATATCCATATACATTGTGACTTCGAGTTTCTTAATGGTCAGTTCAGACTGACTGAGCTTTATGAGAAAAAAGTGTCATAGAAAGCAGGCTTCTGAATGCTCTTTCCTTGGAGCATTTATTTTTGAAAACTCATACTTGCAAATTCTTTATCTGTCCTTTTGAAACATCTGCAAGTTTCCCTTACTTCATGGGAGAGTTAAAATCCAAGAGATGTCTTTCTCAAAGACTGATAAACATTTACTAGAAATATAAATGTTTAAAGGAACAGTATCTCTGTCTCTGTGTGAAAATTGAACTAATACAATACTGAGTATTTTGTCTCAACCTGTTGAGTTATTTCCTATCATGAAAATGGGAGGAAGTAGATTCTCATAGGAGAAAGTCAATCAGGACAGAGAGGAAATGAACCAATGACCCCACTCCATTTATTATAACTTCTTCACCTTTTGTTTTCAAAGCATCTGTGTTGAATGAAGTGTCCCTTGACCGTTTATTGTTCAATTTTCATACTGACAATTGCTTCTCTTCCTTTCATTCTTCTAGAAAGCTGTAGTTCCCCAAAAGGGGAATGCATAAATGCCTTTGTGCCCAGGGAGATCTTGATTATTTTCTTTAGATATAGGGAATTTCCTTAAGCAATGTTCCTTGAAAACATGATGACATCCTGATAGAGAATAGTGATAAGTAGATTTCGGCAACTGCCTAGAGAAGAGGTGCATTATCTCCTAGCAGTCAGAATGTGTCTTAGAGTAAGAAACTCATATGACAGTCTCTGCTTCCATGTTACTGCATGACATCTCTCTCCAGATGCTGACAAGTCGTATTTGAGAAACTGTGTAAGCAGGTGTTGACTGACAGTTAATGAAGCTGCTTCCATGAGCCGCAAATATGTGCAATCCTCATTTCTTTATGAGCACAGCTTCATAATCATAAGAATCTTAGTGACCCATATTGCAAGATGTGCCAAAGCTGCTGCTCTCTTAAATAATGCTGCATTATCTATCCGGGCAGTTGGAAACTGACTGCTTCATTAGCAAGTCAATGTACTCCCAAGCTTCCTACTGATGCTCTGATGTTTCCATCAGTGCGAATTGTTCTCTAATTGGAACTGGCATTCGCTGTTTAAATGCTATAAAGTGGAATATAACCAGGTAAATCAATAGATACCCTTAGAAATTATGTAAAATTGCAAATGTATGTGTCTTTTATGCATCTTTTCCTTAGTCAAGAATATTCAACTTGGAAATTAAGCAAATCGGAATGGTTTAATTATTCCATTTGCCTTAGAGAACTAGAAAGAGACAATGCCTCAAACAATAGTGTTCAGTTATTAAGAATGATGCGGTTAGAATCACTACAAGAAATTGGTTTCAGCATCGAGTGCTTTTTTAAAAAAATTTGAAACAAATATATTTTCTTTGATTTTTCAGGCTTTGATGCTTTTTTCAAAAGGAGAACTTGTTCTATGGCATCTGATAATTTTTATTATGGGAATAGTTTACTCTTCATATCATTTGACTTTGCTAATTTCTTTTAGCATTTCTTAATTTTTGTCTTTGAGTGTTATTGTATTAGGAATTTTCTCCCAGGTAGTCCATTCCATCTTGAAGGTAAGCATGTTACTACTAAATGTGCTCTAAAAAGAGGTGACAGACACGTTGTCATGCTGCGAAGCTCTTTAGGACCTGAGATGGTCCAAAGGGAGGCTTCTTAAGAATCTGGAAGCCAAAAGCTTAGAACCCGTAGGAGGTCTATCCCTATCCTTCTTTGAGCCTATAAAAGCAATAAGAACAGCTGAGAGGGACTCAGAAAGCTTCCTGCAGGAGGTTTCCATTAAGCTCCCTGCCAGGAGACAGATCAGCCAAGCATCTAGGATAGGCTAGGGACAGATGAGGGAGCGCCCTACATGTGTAGAGTGAGATCCAGATGTCTTGCTTTTGTGAGTTGACACCCTTGTGGGCCTGACATTGGATAATATAGCTATCTGATCTTGCAGACCACTCCAAGAAACTTGATGTTTTACAAACTGGACATTGGTGGTATCCTTTAAAAAAGTCTATTTTTTATTCATTTTTTTCTTATTTATTTTATATATCAACTACAATTTCCCCTCCTTCCCCTCATCCCACTCCCTCCCCCCACCTCCTTCCTTCTCCCTCCCACATCCTCTCCTCAGAAAGGGTAAGGCCTCCCATGGGAGTCAACAAAGCATGGTATGCCAAGTTGAGGTAGGACCAAGCTCCTCCCCACTGCATCAAGGGTAAAGGAGGCATCCCACCATAGAGAATTGTAGCTAGAAGTTTCTGCGGTCCTGAGTAGGCCCTGCAGTTCTGTGGCCTGCTTATAAAATTATCACACAGAGGCTTAATATTATTTATAACTGTGGTGATATTACTGTGGTTTATGTTCCCCAAAATATTGTGCACCCTAATAAACTTATCTGGGGTCAGAGAACAGAACAGCCACTAGATATAGAGGCCAGAAAATGGTGGCACACATGCCTTTAATCCTATCACTTGGGAGGCAGAGATCCATTCGGAAACACTGGAAACAGCCAGGCATGGTGACTTACGCCTTTAATCCCAGGAAGTGATGGCAGAAAGCAGAAAGGTATTTAAGGCGTGAAAACCAGGAACAAGCTGGTTAAGCTTTCAGGCTTTTGAAAAGCAGTTCAGCTGAGATTCATTCTGGATGAAGACTCAGAGGCTTCCAGTCTGAGGAAACAGGATCAGCTGAGGAACTGGCGAGGTGAGGAAGCTTGTAGCCTGTTCTGTCTCTCTGATCTTCCAGCATTCACCCCAATACCTGGCTCCAGGTTTGTTTTTATTAATAAGAACTTTTAAGATTCATGCTACATGTAACTGCTTGGCTATTAGCTCAGGCCTACCACTGACTAGCTCTTACATTTAAACTCAGTCCATTTCTCTTAATCTATATGTTGCCACATGTTCCGTGGCTTTACTTGCGTGTCATTACATGCTGCTGCCTGGATGGCGGCCTGGAATCTCCCCCTGCCTTCTTCCTGCCTTTCCTTTTGAATTTCCCGCCTGCCTCTAAGCTGCCTTGACATAGGACAAATGACTTTATTTATCAACCAGAGAAACACATATTTGCAACATACTGAAAGGGAACAGGTTCAAAAATGCCAGTTTATGCACCAGAGACAGATCGTAGTCACACTGCTAGGGGCCCACAAATAGACCAAAATGAACAACTATCATCAACATGCAGAGGGCCTAGGTAGGTCCCATGCAAGCTCCTAAGCTGTAGGTCTAGAGTTCATGAGCTTACATGAGCTCAGGTCAGTTGTTTCTGTGGTTTTTCCCATCATGGTCTTGAGCACCCTTGCTCCTATAATCTCTCCTCCTTCTCTTCAACTGGACTCCGGGAGCTTGGCCCAGTGCTTGGCTGTGGGTGTCTGCATCTGCTTCTTGGTGGTATCCTTACACTGATCTGCCAGGAGTTTCCTGTCTGGGGTGAGCAGTTGGTTGTTTGCTTCTCCATAGAAATAGTGTGGCACTCAAAAATGTTTATTTGTTTTCTATTCAATTTTGACTTGTCACTTACTTTCTCAATGGTCATAAGTTTATTATATTCAGCCCTAAGGACATGAAATATAATTTAAAATTTAAATTAAATCAAATTTCTCATTATTCTCTAATTATTTTTTGAAAGTGTAGTTACTTAAGATCTTTGAGATAAATTTTAATTAGTTAAGTAAGGTGAAAAAATAGTTTGAAAAACTGCAATTTCAAAATAAACTTAAAATTTTAATTTTTTTCAATATCGTGGATATTAAAAGAGAGATGGCATGCCAATATAATGTCAAGTCATTCCTGAATAAATGGCCTTGCCCACGTTGTTGAACCATAAATTGGAGAAAGTTTAGTGAAACCGAAATTTACTCAAAGCTATCCCTAAAATACTTACATGCATTATTTCCTAACTGTCCATCTTAGGAAGTTACAGAGTATGAAGGACTTTTGCGGGAGATAAAGGAACAAGAGTCAGTAGGACACCTATTAAGCGGTTTAGTCAGGTTTTTTGACATAAAGGTGGCTGTTACCTCTCCTCCTGGTGGGACCATTGAATGAAGGATTACTGAGAGATGGGAAGGAAAAGGATGAGGTAGCTTTAAATGAGTGCAGTCACCGTGAGTTTTCTCTGGTCCTGCCCGGTCCTGAGGTCAAGTGATCCAGATATTACACTACAAGAGAAGACTATTTTCTTTTTAAAGTAGTGTCTGGAACATGGCCATCTGTATGGGAGAAGGAAGGAAAGAAGGAAACAAGGAAAGAAGGAAGGAAGGAACAAAGAAAGGAAGAGAAAAGAAAGCTTAAAATCTATCATATGCAACACAACACAACTAGCAAGTAGATTAAATAGCTGCTTGCAAGAAGATCTGGTGCTGCATATTAATTGAAAGCACAAGGACAAAGATTCTTGGTACTAGTGCTGATCCCTTGGATTTAACCAAAAGTGGATAAGCAGCACAAGAAAAACATACACAAATTATACTACCACAAACGTTTTAGTCTTTGCAAACCAGTTGACATTAAAAATTAGAGGTAATCTGCATGTTGCAAAAAATGCAAGCCATATTTTAGATCACCAGCCAATAGCTAAGATTTAAGAATAAATCCCTGTTACTCAATACCGAGAACACAAAGAACCAGATGAGAAAATGACTGAGAGACTTGAGACATTTCTTCACAAATGATATAAACATGTCTAGTGATTAGAAGAAAGGATATTAGTATCATTTCATGGCAGTGAAATATAAGTCATTCTATAAGAATAAAAGCAAGCACTACCGTGTGCAGCAGCATAGACAAACAAGTAATGTCATGTCAAATGAAATAGGATTACATTTCAGGAAGAGGATGGGAATGGGTGTCACCTGACAATATGCTGTAATAAAGGAAGCTACATTACACATTGTCATTAATTTCTTAACCACTATATGTGGTGGTAATCTAATTATACTGAAATGTGATTTTGATTGTATATTAATAAATAAAGTTGCCCGGGGGTCAGAGCTATTAGAGCCATAGCAAGAGTGTGGCGGTGGTGGCACACGCCTTTAATCCCAGAAAGCCAGTCTTTAATCCCAGAGAGTGGTGGTAGAAAGCAAAAAGATATATAAGGCGTGAGGACCAGAAACTAGAAGCATTTGGCTGGTTAAGCTTTCAGGCTTTGGAGCAACACAGTTCAGCTGAGAGCTATTGGGATGAGGACACAGAAGCTTCCAGTCTGAGGAAACAGGGCCAGCTGAGGAACTGGTGAGGTGAGATAGCTGTGGCTTGTTCTGTCTCTTTAAATAGACTAACAGACAGGAAATAGAGCCCTGATTCGGGAAGCTGGGACACTGCAGGCAGAAGGGTGAGATTTCAGCTCTGAGCTCTGACCTCTCGGCTTTCTCTTTTGCATTGTTTCTGTGTTTCTTATTTAATAAGATGGTTGGTTACATCTATAACTATACTTTTCTACATCAAATATAACTGAACATTGGCAATGCAATAATATTGAAGATAATGCTAAAAAGTGAAATATTACTTCCTTCTTGCAACATATCTGAAGTCTAAAATTATCTACTATTTAAATTGCTAACAGAAGGTGAATTTTCCAATAAAAGGAAAGTGTAATTTCCCTTTGAAAAAAATACTACTTGTGCATTTTTTGTTCCTAGTAGAAAGATTAAGAAATAACAAAATTATATTACTTGAAGATATGTGAACAATTTATCGAAATATATATTTTACTTTTGTCTCTTTCTTTGTTCCAAGCAATATAAATTTTGAAAGGGATTGGAAATACTCAGATTCAATTTGAACACAGGAAAATAGATACGAGGTTTTTAAACTCAACTTTTTATTGCTGACAACATGAATCAAATTGGAAAAATAGTCTCCTCATTTCACAGTCTTTCAATTTCATAGTCTGCTACACAGTAATGTGTTATTATTGATAATAAATATTTATCAAGTGTTTTTAAGACATTGGTATGAACGTAAATAAATGTTTCTGAACTGTTTTTCTCATAGAGCTTACATCGCTATTAAATTTTTGTATTTATTTATTTTATGTATGTGCATGTGTTTATGTGTGTGCACATGTGCCACAGTGTGTATAGAGAACTCAGATGACAACTTGCTAGGGTCGGTTCTCTTCTTCTACCAAGGGTACTCAGGGATGGATCACAGGATTTTAGGAGGTAGAGAGGGCACAGTTTACAGAAAGCACTAGATAAACCAGAATTGTGATTCATGCAGACATTTTTTAATTCAAAAAAAGAAAATGACACCTGTTCACCAGGAAGACTGGTGTGGATGTTGTCTAACAACCTGGTAATCTTTTGCTTTTCTGTGGAGCCAGCCTTTATTGAATCCCCCATAATCCCGAGCAATCCTCTCAGTCAATAGAACCCCGTTTATGCTTATTGCAAACCACCCTTGCTCCTTAGACCCTTATTCTGAGCACTGTTTCTCTGTCAATAGAATCCATTCTTAAGTAAAGGTCACAGATGTTTTGCTATAGAGATGTACTATGCAAGGGAGTTTCTATGTAGCCATGCATAAAGCTTTGTTATGACAACTGCCACTTGGAAACTATCCCCAAAGTTTTACTGTGTTTACATGTGGAAAAAAAAAAAGCTGGGTCAGACTCCAGAAGTTTCTGACCCAGCATCAGCTAAAGTAGTGCTGACCCAAGTTTCAGTCTTAACTTTACATGGATCATTTCCCTGCTGTCTGTGATGCTTTCATGAATCCCACTGAAGGCATGTCAGTAAACATACTTATCCACTAAGCCATCTTTCCAGTTTCCTCCATTTTTTCTTTTTTCCATAAATAAAAACACAATATACAATAGAATTGCATGTATTTGTGAAATATATTTTGATACACATATATAGATAGCATCATATAATGTTTAACATGATCAGGCTAATATGTATCACCACTTATAGATATCTATATAACATTTTGGCATGTGTACTTAGATAAAAACAAGATTAACTTTTTTACTTTTTAAAATAAACTTACCAGTATTTATAAAATCTACTACTCTTGACCATGTTCACAATACTGTCCAGATCTTTGGAACAAATTCTTCTTTTGAGTAAAAGTTTCATGCATTTTTCTCAATGGCCATCCTCTTCCAATCACCTTTCAATCCACTGTGCTTATGAGCTCAACATTTGTAAATTATGAAACTGAAAGAAATCATAAAGGACTTAACATTTTGTGTTTTAATCATCTCACCTAGTATAAGGTCTTCCACGGTCATCTGTGTTGTTGCAAGCTGCACGATTTCTATCTATTTTTATTAAGGGTAATGTTCTGTTTTCGGTGTGTGCCTTAGTTAGAGTTCTTATTGCTATGATAAAACATCATGACCAAAAGCAAATTAGGAAGGAAAGAATTTATTTTACTTTTTATCCATGTTATCGTCCACCATCAAAGGAAATCTGGGAAGGAACTCAAGGCAGGAACCTGGAGGCAAGAACTGAAGAAGAAACCACAGAGGAAGGATCTTACTGGTTTGCTCCGTATGGCTTACTCAGCTTGCTTTCTTATAGCACCCAGAACCACCAAATCTGCGGTGACACCACCATCTAATTAAGCTATAGCAAATCAATCATCAATCAAGAAAATACTTTAGAGGCTTTGCCTATAGGCCAATCTGGTGGTAGCACTTTTGAAACTCTGATTTCTTCCTTGTGAGTAACTCCAGAATGTGTTAAGTTGACAAGAAAAACAACAAAAAACTAGCCTAAACTAGTCTGCAGCATATTTAAAATTTGATTTTTCTGTCCATCTATCATTTCACACTTAGATTAGTTCTGAAACTTGGCTACTGAAACTAGTGAAGCTACCTATAACAGTTATTTTAAGTTAGGCCTCAAAAAGCACATTCTATAATCTATCCTTTAGTAATTCTTTTTGAAAATCTACTGTATACATAAATGAGATTTGTTTCTATAAATGGGTTTACCCTTTGTTTTCTATATTATTTTAGTTATGTTTTCTTAGAATTCATTTATTTTTTTTCAAAAATGCATTTTCTGTTACATTTATTCAGAATTTCATGCAGCTCAATATCTTTGGAGACATTTCCAAGAAAATTATCTACACACAGAGGAGTCAAGTGTATCATATTTTTACATTTCACTGTGTTTTGTACCTTTGTGTCAATATCTGAGAATATGTTGTGCTGGGTATCTCTTCCTTTCTTAGTTGAGAGCTTTTTTAGTTATCAGCATTCTTTCAATGCTATGCCCACTGCTGTAAGTGGAATATATTTCCAATTACAGTTTTAGGTGTTCTGTTATATATTTGGAAGAAAAAGTGACAAAAGAAAAAATAAATAAAAAGCCTGCCTACAATGAGCAATTACCTCTGTTACCCCTACTTTTATACCAGGCTGAGAAACTTTCCCTCTTTCTGGTAATCTCTCTTCACTCTTTTTCATCCAGTATTAAACTTCAAAGTGCTGCCTCAGTCAACCCTTCACTGGGAAGCTGTGTTGTGGCTCCTTTTATATAGGACATAGAGAAGCTGGAGCATATGACTTGCTTCTAATTAGCCACATTTTGCCTTCCTCATGTTACCTACATTGAATAAAGAGATCATCATCTCTTTCACGTGAAGAACTCACTCAAGATCTTGTTATGATTTTCCCTCCTCCAATTCCTCCCAGCTCCTCCTCACTTCCCACCCACCCAAATACAAACGCTTTCTTTTCTCTTATAGGACATTTTCCTTAGGCTGAGAAAGTGACATAAACAATGGGAAATAATGTTTCCGACACAAATAGACTGATGAGAATTTAGATGCCTAGTATCTCTGCAGGCATCTAGGGAATGGTGAGGCACAGATGAATCCTCAGTGTGGTGTGGACAGAAAAAGGAGGGACACTTGGGCTTTTGTGCTCTCAGCCTAGCACTGTGTTCCACATGGATGACCCATAAATACACTTTACATAGGCTCATATACAATTTTTTTTAAATAAGCAATTTTTCCTCATTGTTTTCCATTATTCACTTATTATTCTTGAACTTTCTACAGGTGTGTGTGTGTGTGTGTGTGTGTGTGTGTGTGTGTGTGTGTGTGTACATATTAAAATTAGAGATGCTTCCTTCCAAAACAAAATTTAGTAGTGTACAGTTCAAAAAGAAAGAAGGTCTGTCTTTAAAAAAAAATGTAACAATAATGGTATAATATAATCTGTAACAATACAGCAGACTTTCTTTCTGTTTCTAAACTTTAGCACATTGGAATATCTCAAAATAGTTACCTATTATTATTTGATAATAGGTGTGAATAATTCCATTTACATTATATAATTAATTTTAACTCCTTGACATGTTGCAGTCTTATCCTGACACATTGAAGTCTATGATTATATGCTTTGTTTCTTTCATTTGCTCCATTTCTGAAAATTACTATTTGCCTGCATTGATGCTAAAATCTTGGATCAGAAAAATGTCATGACTACGAAATTTTCCTGCTGAAACCCGCCACATTGACAAAGAAAGCTTACTGAAAGTGCATACATTATTTCACTTATTTACTTCCCACTGAACATGCATATCTTGCTGACCCTACGTAGCTTGTCATGTAGACAGATAGTGATCTGCATTTTCATTTTTTCTTTTAATTTTTCAATCTTAGCTTTTTAAGAGTTCATATTAGCTTTTCTAGTTTCCTTGATGTTTCTGTGATCAACATGATGACCCAAAGCAAAGGGTTTACTTTAGCTTTGAAGTTACAGTCCATCATCAAGGGAAGCCAAGGGTGGTCACTTAAGAGAGCATCTTGAAGCAGAGACCAACAAGGAATTCTCCTTACTGGCATTCTGAGTTCCATTTGTTACACAGGCCTGGCTCACCTACATGGAGATGACACTGCCTGTATTGGGTTGGTCCCCCTTATATTCGTTAGGGATTATGAAAATGCCACATAGACACGGCCACAAGACTATCTGACCTAGGCAATTCCTCAGCTGAGGTTCCCTCTTCCAAGGCCACTGTCAACTAACTATGGTAGGAGCTTTGTATTTCCAATTTTTCCCACCCTCTCTATAATCAGCCTTGAACTTATTCTGTTATTCTTTCTCCTTTCTATGTACCGGTTTCATTTGTTAGGACAATCTGTAAATCTGATTTCAAATTTACATGTTGAAATTTATGTTCTTTAACTAAATACAAAATAAGCCATAGACTTCACATATTATTTATTTGTCAGTGTGTTCTTAGCAAAAATACACAATTTGTGTGTTCCTAGAATAAAATTTAAGAGGTAGAAAATGATTTAAAAAAGACTTTCATTTCTTAAAATTTTTATATTCCTGGAATCACTTTTTTTTTGTCATTGTTGAGGTAAAATTTAGTTTGAAAGAGAGAGGTGTTTCTGTGCAGCTACATAAGCTGTTTGATAGCTTTCTGACTCTTTGTTTGGTCAAGTAACTGAGCAGCAGGGGAGCATTCTATTTCTTGCTTTGTATTTGACCTCAGTTCCATTGCAGGAGCAACGTGTGGTTATGTTTGGTCCCCTTCCTTGTGCTCTAACTCTCTATGCTATTGAAGAGCATCTAGAAAAGTCCATTAACCTAGTTTCATCTTGGTTCCTCCACCTTTGTCCTCAGGTCTCCCAGCACACAGTCAGGCAAGTGTAACTAGCTGCCAGCACAGTCTCCTCTGGCCTCTTTGACTTATTGACCACCTGGCTTCTGAAGTAGTGAACAGCACTTATATTTCCATTGGGCACCTTTTCTGGCCTATGTCACAACCTCTCTAGTCACTAAAATTTCAGCACCACTGTCACTTAGACTTCTGAGCACCCTGCCTCTCATTCTACTTCAGCTATCCTACACAGTGTCTCTCTAGTTTTCTGTTCTAAGTTTGAATAGAAAGTTGAAAGATAAGTACTTATATTTAAGAAGATAGAATCAATGGTACTTATATTAAGAAGATAGAATCAATGTTCTTGGGATAATCACCAACAAATGGCAAGAGAGATTATGGTCATTAATGTACCAGTTTCCAATCTCCATCAGGACTGCTTTTAAATCACAGTCTTTGAGGACTTCTTACATTTTGAATTTCCTCCTTTTGTTACTTTCAAATAAATAAGTAGCTCTTATCAAATGACAGGTGCTACACATCAACAAGTTTGACCTGAGTTCCTCTTATGATCAGAGCTTCCTGTCTCTTTTTCAGCCACAACTGTTGACTGTTCTGCCCTCTTCTACATTTTGCTGATCCACATAATTGCATTAAGGCCACATACATAGTCCAGGATAATCTCCCTATTTTAAATTAAATGATGAGAAATCTGCATTCTCAACAAAGAATGCCTTATCCCATGTCAGTGGATATTATATGCAGAAGTAGTTTAAACATGTCTTATTGTTTAATTAGCGTAAATTAATTTCACATAATAATGGATTTTATACACGTCCACAATGTATTTATATCACAGTCATATATTACACTCTCTTGCCCTCCACACATAAACTCATTAATTCCCTTTTTCGACCTATCTAACACATCTTTTACGTTCATGTTTGTGTTTGTTTGTTTGTTTGTTTCTGACCCAGTGAACTTCATTCCTATTGATTGCAGGAGCATGGATGAGGGTCCAGTTATTAGAGTTTATGTACCACACCAGACCATACAAGAAAATGTTTCTTCCTCCTTTACTGACCATTAAATGCACACTTTATTAAAGAGGGTCAGGGCACCAGGACCTTTCTCCTGATTCTGAACAAGGGTATTTATGGGACCAATATTGTGCAGAGATTGTATGGGTGTTATGAGCTCAAGAATGCAACAGCTATGTCATATTCCACAGTGCCCCATTTCTCTGGTTCTAACACATTTTTCTTCCTCTCTTTCTGTTGTAGATGTAACCAATCATCTTATTAAAATAAGAAACACAGAACCAATGTAAAAGAGAAAGCCGAGAGGCCAGAGCTCAGAGATATAATCTTACCTCCTGCAGTGCTCCTAGCTTCCCCGAGAGAGAGCTACTTCATGTTTGTCTGTGTTTAAATAGTCTTTCTGTTCTGCCTTCTCATTGGTTGTAAACCCAAACACATGACTGCCTCATCACTGCCTGTAAGTACCGCCCTCCAGGTCTTAAAGGCGTAAGTCTCCAATACTGGCTATATCCCTGAACACACAGAAATCTACCTAGCTCTTCTAGCCACCACGCTCTTGCTAAGGCTCTAATAGCTCTGACCCCAGGGCAACTTTATTTATTAACATAAAATTAAAATCACATTTCAGTACAAATAAAATATCACCATATTCTGTTATATTCCTTAATCATTGAAGCAAGTGATAAGATGTCCCATTTACAGCTAGGCATTTGACAGTCATGTATTTGCACTACTCTGAGCAATTATGAGTCTTCATAAATTGCTGTCCAGAGCAAAAGAGATTTACTTGGCCAAATCTGATAGCAGAAGCATTCTATGGTCATAAACATAGTTATTTGGAAAGCAATTTGACAATGTCCTTTAAGGGAAACCATGGCAGTAGCTTTCTCCCTGGAACTTCCAACTCCCCAGGCTTTTGTTTCTCTTGAATTCTGTTACAGTGTGTGTGTGCTTTTTTATTTGTTTGTTTGTTTGTTTGCTTGGTGTGTGTGTGTGTGTGTGTGTGTGTGTGTGTGTGTGTGTGTGTGTACACTCATCTCTGTGGGTCTGATCCCACACATGGTGCAGTACTCATGGAGATCAGAAGATAAATATTAGGTACTGGTCCACTCTTTTCCACCTTATTTTATATATAGTTTCCTTGGCATTGTGTAAGTGAGTATAGTTGTAATGTGACTGGATTTTCAGTATGAGATGAGAATTCTTTACTATGGAGCAGGCATCAAATATATTTTTAAAGAATATATTGTAACAAACCTGGCTTGATGCTTAGGACATGGTTCAATTAGCAAATGAGCTTGCCATACAAAACTGATGACCTAATTTCTGAGCCACAGATCATATGCAAAAGATAGATACTGGAGCAAA